CATTTGGGAAGTGAATGGGTCATACTAAGCTATAACCTGTTCAGAAATAATTGCCATTATGTCTTTTACAGTTCAAAGGTGGTGACAGCAAACATACCCATACATGAACTAGTACAAGTTTGGTGCAGGTAGGTACCTGCACAGTTTCAATTTTAGTTTTACCTGCAGTAACCCGCATATGGAAGTTACATTTTGAGCTTTTACGTCGATGAAGGTTAGACATCCAGGTAATACGATACGCCAAAAGGCAGTTACTCAAGCAACTGGATATGACTTTGAGCTTTTAGTTTTAGTACATCTAGGTGTGGCAGGCTGGTACAGGGAGGTTCGGAGCAGAATTTTGCACCACAAACATGTCGGCTGGCAGCCAAATTTCTGCAGCTAGCATGTACCTCAGGTCAGAGATGACATCTGGAATGTTTCAGGTTTGACTCCTGCTGGGAACACATGGGAACAATCCTGGCTCCTAAATATGTATAGGTCCAGGTACAGGGCTGGAAATATCACCTGCATATGCAGGTTAGTCAACTTAATGCTGGTAAAATTGGGACTGTGCAGGTATTTCTGATGTCGACTTGCTCCTAACCTGCACTGGTTCAGGTTTGACTCCTGCTGGGAACACATGGGAACAATCCCGGCTCCTAAATATGTACAGTTCTTCACTGATGTACAGGTCTAGGGCTGGAAATCCCACCTGTATTTATATTATTATATGCAATTATATGCAGGTTAATATTCAGGTTAGTGCAGGTAAAATTTGAGCCATGCAGGTGTTTTTGATGTCTACCTGTGCCATAACAAAATCAAGTAACATGATGAACATCTAAAAACCGTAACACCAACCTAACTACCTACTTTGTCCAAAGTTTCACCCAGACAACATTGCAAGGTTGCCAACATGCAATGCCAATGATTTGGTTTAGGTCTGGACTTACAAGTCCGGAACCAAACCTAAACCTCTGGACTTGAATCCGGACCTGAACCTAAATGTGGGTTTAGGTATGCAGCACTAGCGACAACAACACCAAAGCAATGCCTTAATACCTGTACATGCAAAGTTATGTTAATTAACTTAACATAATCAATGACAACTTTTTTTTGTGATTTCTACTGATTCTACACAAATTTTTGCTGAAAACAAACTTGTATCTGTGAAAGTGCCTTTTCTCACATATATATCATAAATAATATTATGATATTATAGAAGATTAAAATAATTTTAACATTTTTGACCCGGTGATAACCCTGACATGCCAGCTCCAATCATCCACAGGCCAAACCAAGTTACCTGACCCAAATATTTCTCACCCAAACCGAGTCCCAATCCTATAAGGGAGGCGGCACATTCCTTTTTATCTAATATGAAAAATTCCACAACCCCAACATGGTAGAGACAAGGCCCCTCTGCTAGCCTCTACCAGGCTTCGGGAGGTGGCTGGAAAGAGTAGCCTCTGTAGCAGGCTTATAGAACTGGGGGTTTGATGGTCTTCGGCTGTTTTCTGAAAAAACGGGGGTTATTCAACCAGGCCGGCTATGTTGTCTATATGCAATCAGAAAACAACACATTAAAGCTCCCAAAGACCCTGAAGACCCTCAAAACCCCCAGTTTTTGGCATGCTGTGAAGGCTATGGAGGTAGAAATCTGTCAAATACTAAATAGAGAGAGATAATAATATGCCAGAGAAGTTGACAAACTGTACTCTCCAGCAGACCAACTCCCCTGGCATGTTATCTCTCTATTTGGCCGATTTCTACTCTTTCCAGCCGCCTCCAGAGAAGCCTGGTAGAGGTAAACCCCTCCCCAACACAAAAACATTCTGTCTGCTCTAACATGTGAGAACACAGCTGTCATCAATCGAAAACAAAATCTGACATTAGCTGCAACTTTTAGCCACTTTATTTCTAACTTTCCTTCTCATTTTGCCTTGTATAACGTCACCGATCTTCTGAAAACTCCCCCAAAGTTTCCCCACCCCAAAAATCACACAGCTCGTTTTTGCCCCTCCCTACTCATACATGCGATGAGTTGAGCTGTCATGTCGAACATTCCAGATCATCACTTATATTCACACTTAATTACATACTTTAATATTTGCTACTATTATTCCTTATTTTCTACGTTAGCTTACAGTCTTTATTCAACAGTTTGGGAACCAAAAAGTGAACGAAATATCGAGATTTTTGCTCTTGTTTATCACTAGCTATGTAGCGTCTTTCTATCGGCCATCTTGGATAATTTATGGTCCACAACTTTCGGACGACTCTACATGTTGGTATGATTTGAGTATAACTTTGAAACTTTTCAGGATAGAAAATAGCTCAAAACACAGACATCTACTGTACTTGTGCGTTGTTAAATCGGCAGGGATAAAACAAGGAGCTTACGGGAGGCTGGGGAACGTTGTACGGGCTTGGGGCGTGCTACTACGAGCCGGCTAGGAGCGGGCACTCGGAGGGTGGTCCATGGACCTAACTATCCGCATCATGATCAAACAACTCACAAGTTTCCTAGAACTCGCATCTAAACACTGGCGTACGGCGCCGTTCGTGAACGACTCTCAATCTTACCGTAACTCCTGTGGTAGCTTCTCGGGCGTGGTGTGGACGGGGGCCCGTCGGAGATGGAGTGGCGACCCGCTGGTTTTCGTCTGTCAGCGTACGGCGTTACTCCGTCTGTCAACGGCGCGTACCACCTCTTGGGAGTGTAGCTCAGCCTCCAAACTCCACAGTTAGATCCCTGTGTTGTTTTTACCGTGTGTTTCTCTCACGAAATCACGCCAAGTTGAGATCCGCGCACGGGGTACGCCTTTTTCTCTGGTTCAGCCTCGTCCAGACGATAAGCTGAGGGAAAATCGAACCCCGGTTCGAGCCTGTGAACTTGTTTATGTAACCCGATCCGCTCCTGGAATGCGCCCCGCCAACCCGGGAATGGGTTCTGCGTAGGGCGTACCACTTTCGCCGCGGGGGTGGCCGGCAACTGTTTCACACTTTTACATCATTAATATTCAAATTTCAAGCAGATGTATGGCGCCGGCTTTTTTTTCTGTAAGTTCGCGGCCGTATTTTCGCATCGGCACTCTTCGAATACGTACAAAACACTCAGAAAACGTAGAAAACAAGGAGGGTATAACGTTGTGTGCTGTGCATCGTGAAGTTCAAGGTTATGTATTACATTTACATCTATTATACATCAAAGACTGAATCAAGTTCAAGTTCATGCCAAATGATGGGCACAAAAGTTGTAAGCAGCTAACTTTTTAGAATAACCATGGAGGTAATTTATTTTTTACCTCCATGGAATAACAGACTGTTTTCTCTAGATTTCGGCCAAAAGAGGTACTACATGGTAAGCCTTGATGGCCTAAATTTACATTATAAGTCTTTGTTTTGACGGTACAAAATCGCGTAAAATTCTATAAAAGAATCTTATTGTCACACGGAAGGGTGACTATAGTATAATACTAGATGAATATGTATCTCATGACGTCTAAAATCCCTTCTATTAAAGTTGTATGCAAACTTTCGACAGTTTTGCCAGTCACCTCATGGATCAAAAGCGCTCCTAGCAGATACTTGTTATATTGCAGCATTTTATTGCTATGAACTTCAACACCGAAGGGTGGCTCTACTAAAATGAAAACGTGTCTCATGAGTTTTAAAACGTTGTAAGCAAACCTTCGACAGTTTTTCCATCCATCTCATGGATCAAAAGCGCTCCTAGCAGATACTTGTAATACTGCAACCTTATATTACTGTGACTGGCTTCAGAATTGCCCCAAAATATAGATTCCAAGTCAGCTTCCTTTTCATCACGTGTAAGCTCCTGACATAATTGTAAATTCTGTTTCTTGATTTTGTGTCTTAATTTCGTATGTATGACTTTGATAGTTGGTAAATTTTCTTTGCTTATGTACGCAAAGTTTTAGTACTATGCTGGCATTTTCATATTTACTAAGTTCTGAGGGAGGCCCACACGTTTTCTACTGTTATCATTATCATGCATTATCTAATATCCTTGTATATGTGAAATTAACTAGCTATTATAGTATAGCCTCTACCAGGCTTTGGGAGGTGGAGAAAGAGTAGAACTTGGCCAAATAGAGAGATAACATACCGGAGGAGTTGGTCCGCTAGAAGCAAACTGTACTCTCTAGCGGCCCAACTCCCTCAGCATGTTATCTCTCTATTTGGCCAATTTCTACCCTTTCCAGCCGCCTCCCAAAGCCTGGTAGAGGCTAGAAATTAACAGTAAGCAACTGGAAACAAAATGAAAGCACCAAGCAGATGTGGAGACTGCATGATTTTTATTTGAACATAACGTTACATTCTAAAGTTCACAAACAGAAACACTGATATCGCAAGCCCTAAAAACTGGGCTAATCATTACATAACATCAGTTTTCTCTTCGTGTTTACAAAATTGGGTCTTCATGGTGTGCTCAAGGTCATGATGACCTTGTAAGAAATTCTCTTTCAAATTTTTTTTACTTGAAATAATCAGCATCAGGAAAAGTCATCCCTATGTAACATTTACCCCCCTTCATAATACAAATTGGTACAGTCCAGTATACTTGTTATCTGTACATATCCTCAACTTATTCAGGGGTCTCCCGAGTCAAACAGGTGTCAAGGTCATTTAGAGGTCAAGTACATGTGCGAAGGTCATATAACAGTAAGATTGGTGGGAAGGTCATTCGGTATAAAGACTGGAATGGTATAAGTGCAGCTGACTATACTTAATCTCAACATACTTTCAACCTGGTGTCCCAACCTATTAAAGCTACGTATACCAAGACTCTTTTCTCCTCTATATATTTGACAGAGAGGATAGAAAAGACTTGCTTAGAAGTTAAAATATATTGGGACATCAGGCTTACACATATTACAGATGTACTATATAAATTTTACTGCAAATAAGGCCCTCTTTTACCCCCCACATCTAGTAGGTTTCTGTAAATAATTATTGTTAAATTTTTTCTTTTCTCAGAAAAAAAAAAATGTGACAAGAAGTTACTTAGTATAGGATAGGCAACCAAGGCCTGAGCATTAAGGCAAGGACTTCTTTACACCAAGATTGCACAGATTTTGTACAGAGAATTACAACTATTCAGCTTCGATAATCGTTTCATAAACAAAAACAATTTGTTTACAAACAACGTTGGCAGTTCTACCACTATTCTAAACCAACCCCCCTCCCTACATGAAATGAACAACATAAAATATTACTTTCTTGCAACTTTTGATAAAACTATATTCTTCCACTGGAGTCACCTCGGCGAAAAAAAAAACGAGTGAAGAAAAGAAAAGAAAAAGGAGATTTTTCTGCTACGTCTTGAAGGTCCTCACAATTCGTCCTTGGTGTCTTCTTCAAGGTCGTCCAGTTCCACGTCACTAAGGTCCCATTCTTCTTCCTCAGGTAACTGGAGAGGGACGGAAGGAACACACAAGTCAGTCTTCAGTATCTCAAGACATGATGAGCCAAACCCAGAACAAGTCTTGTACTTTTACAAGATCCCCCTCCCTTTTGATCAAATGCTTACAAATAATTACGTATCCATAAAGTCTTGTATGAATAAGGTCACGTGTCTGTAACTGTAACTCTTGCAATATTACGTTTGGAAGTGATTGATCATTAATTATCCTGATGAAGGCGATGAAGTGGTCATTGAAAGTACAATGTATATTTTACAGTTTTCCTTATTAAATATTATGTAGCAAATGATATACTGTCCAGAAAGAAATGCTAGTCAATGCAAAAGTCACTAGAAAGGTTTTCTGTTTTGCCTGCAGAATTTCCAAATGGGTCCAACTTATGGATATCTTAACAAACAAACAAACAAACAAACAAACAAACAAACAAACAAACAAACAAACAAACAAACAAACAGCCCACCTGTCCATCCTTTCCATCCCATGGGTCGATGGTCTGTACTTCTGGCAGCGCGGCTCCTTTAACTGGAGCAGTGGAACCTCGGCCAACTGACAACTCCCTGTAGGAACAACATTAAACATGTTAGTCAGTACTGTAGCCTTACTGTCTAACCTGTAAGTTAGTGTAACCCATTACTGGCAGGGCACCTCCTTTAACTGGAGCGGTGGAACCTCGACCTACAGACAGTTCCCTGGTAAAGATATGAAAAATACACAAGACAATCAATTAACAACTTAGATAATACATAGATGAGCCAAAAAAACAGTTACTCAAGCAACTGGATATGATTTTTGACCATTTGCAAAATCATATCTAGTTGCTTGAGTAACTGTTTGTTGCCTTATCTTGTTACCTGGATGTCTAACCTCCATTGTAAATGAATAATTATAATATTATACTGTATTGTATTGTATTGTACAGGAGGGAATGGAAAAGGCTGTATTATACATTATCATTATAAGAGAAAACTTCTTAGCTTTTATTGAACATTCCAAACTTTAAGGTAAAGTCTCAGTCTGTCCATACTCAGAATATAATGTACACAGAGGCACATGTACTACAACGTTATAAAGTTTAACATTATCATATATAAGTACTTCTACAGGAATTAACCAGGTCGTTACCTGAGAAACTCGTTGATCCCTGATTCGCTGAAGGAGCCCTTTAATGTGGCGTACTTCATTTTTCTGGAGTTCACTGCTGCCATGGCCTGGAGGGGGGAGGTAAGTACCATTTACTCAAAAAATAGTTACTCAAGCAACTGGATATGATTTTGGAAACGGTCAGACGTTTCAGCTAGCATCCACTAGCGTTCGTCAGTGACAGTTCCTAACTGCTTTTTGGCATATTGTATTACCTGGATGTTTAGCCTTCATCAACGTACTATTTACTCATCCGTCAGTTCACAAGAACTTCAGGAATACTAGTTTTCTTTCTTATTCAAACAACTGTAAACATTACAGATTCTAAAATAACATGTACAAGTTCTGAATTGCATTGCAGAAACATAGACATTATTCTTGGCCCAAATGTTTACTGACTCAGGCATGTCTGTGAAATCTGCAGAAGACAGAAACAAAGAACCACATAAACAAACAAACAAACAAACTTACGGGATATCCAAAGCCTCCAATGCCGAGAGCCTCCTCTAGTTCAGACTGAGCTCCTGCCTCTGCCCAGACCCAGCTGTAAGAGTAAGAGTCATGTCAGTCTTAAACTCACCAACATATCACCTCACACATAACACATCTGCCCAAACCCAGCTGCAGACATGTAGGAAAAGGAGTCAGAGTTAAGAACAGGCCACAACTCAGTCTTACACTAATGTATCATCACTCTCATTTCAACCCAGGATCTACCCAAATCCGGCTGATATGCAGGGAATCATTCAGTTTTACTCCCTATCTCTTTTAAAAAAAAAAAATATACTACATATTTTTAATCAGTTCGGTTGCCATGAAGGCTCAATATCCACTGATACTATCCAGATCAAACTGTTCACAGATCGACTCGGTGCAGCAACTCACACCCACCCGTCCGCTTGGCCCATCCCTATGCTCTATTCTACGACGGTAATGTTTTTATGTTTTTTTCCTATTTTGTAATCTTTTCTCCATAACTACCCCACACAAACATGCAGTGTTCAACCCAACTCAACTCCCTGACTACTACATGTAGTATATCGCCCTACTCACCCCCACATTTTCTTCTTGTACTTCTCTCCCATCCCTCTCAGCTGAGTCAGGTACTGGTTTCTGCCTGAAGCTCCTGGAACGCAAAAAACACAACAATCAAAAATAAATAAACAAACAAACAAACAATGCTCCATTATTCCAAAATTTGATAGGCTCCTGAACACAACAACACAACAGTCAAAAATAACCAAACAAAACTATGCACCCAAAACAGTTACTCAAGCAACTGGATGTGACTTTGGAAAGTTGGAAATGGTCAGACGTTTCAGGTAGTATCCACTACCTTTCATCAGTGACACTAGAGATTGCTAATTGCTACTAATGGCTACCTGAAACGTCTGACCATTTCCAAAATCATATCCAGTCGCTTAAGTGATTGTTTTTGTCGTATCTTATTACCTAGATGTCTAACCTTACCTGCAAAACATACATGTGAATATGCAGCTCCATTATCCCAAATATGTCATAGCTGTGTTATATCTGCATCAGATTCTGAGATCTGCATATATTATGTAAATTACTACATATATTATGTTAATGAGAGACCCACCTGTGTCGAGTATATGTGGCAGGAATGACACCACGCACAGCTGTTTCTCTGAACATGTTTTCATGACCTCTGCACCCACAACCTTCAGAAACACACAAGGAGAGAGAACAAGGTCAATATCTCAAAATCAAGTCTCCAATAGGCCATTATTACATTTAGAGATAGATCAGATGTTTCCCCCAAACACGAATGGAACAGAAATAGTTTCAAAAGTTGTTAAAGTATAGACTAACCTTGCTGACATTTCGGTGTCAATCTGCCACCTTCCTCAGAGCTTCTGACTGGAGTTCTGCTTCTTGCTGCTATATATAGCTGATGTAGGTGGCACTTTTGCAGTGAAAATGCAATCCCAAAAAGACATTGGCTACAAACATGTATAGCAGGGAGAAGCAGAATTCCAGTCAGAAGCTCAGAAGAAGGTGTCTGTTAGACACCGAAATGTAGTCTATCTTGGTTGTGTAATAGAAAACCCCTGTATCCAATTGCAACAGTCCTTACCTCCAACACCTCGGGTGGTGGGATGTTCTCAGCGACTGCATCCAGTGCGTACTGTACAATGTCGGAGGCTGTTCTCCCGCCCTCGTAGTTTGTGGCGTCTCCGTCCTTCTTACCGGCTGCAAACACCTTAATGGTCGGGAAACCTTGGATCTGGGGGAGGGAATAAATGACAGATTAGTCAACAGAGTAAATTGTAGTGTCAAATTGCTGAGTGGCTAGGTTAGCAGACAGGAGAGGAGTTATGGGTTCAATTCTTGGCTAGAAGTTATGTCCTTGGGAAAGGCATTTTGCATGACTTTCCTCACTCCACCATTTTGCATGACTTTCCTCACTCCACCTTGGTCTAAAATGGGTACCTGACTTTGGTTGGGGAGGTAAAGGGCAGTGGATGGAGAGGGATGGGCTCTGCCGTCCAATACCGTGCCCTAGACACAGTGGATCAACAACCTACTGCCCCTACTGGCTCTAAAAAGACTACCTTTACCAGTACCAAATAGATAGTTACAGCAACACATGATGGCTAAGACATAGTGTCCAGTGTTACCTCACAGCTTGCTATAGTATGTTCCATGTAGAACAATGAAAAATCACCTGGCTACAGGTATGCACTTACCTGATACCTGCTGGCCATGACTGTGTGCACGGTTGCGTCCAGAGCTCCCAGCTTCACCTTGCCCTTCAGCTCAGTGGCTGCCGAGGCCCACTCCGGCTCCAAACGTTTGCAGTGTCCGCACCAAGGCGCGAAGAATTCAACCAACCACAAGTCGTCACTGTTCAGGACTTTGTCTTCAAAGTTCCCGTCTGTTAGTTCGATTACGTCGTCTTTATTTCCTGCCTGAATAACAAACAGATAAACAAACATTGACCAATCAGAGGTCGTCGCTTTTCAGGACTTTCTCTTTAAAGTTTCCATCCATCAGCAAATAAAACAAAAAATATCAATCAAAAAAACAAATAATATCAATCAAATTGGGCAGTATCTAAGTTGCAAGAAAAGAGGTACCAGTAGAAAAGGTTGCTGCCTAACAAATAGAGAATTTGTATCCTGTATGCTTAAGGTAAAACAGACCGACTCCATGTCACAAAAGGAATGTACAGTGTATGACCCACTGACCCCTGTTACTGACCTTACTGCCTGACCCTTGACCGCCGCTGCCCCCTGACCCGCCGGACTTGCCGCCCTTCCCGCTCAGCCTCGCTTTCACCACCTTCTGCACCTGCTGCATGGCCGAGTCAACCAGCGCCTGGGCAGATCTCGCACCTGTAGTAATCAATAATTAATCAATCAATAATTAATCAATAACCAATTGTGAGTGTAATAACCAATCAATATGTCAATAATCAATCAATCAACCTGCTGCAGGGCAGAGTCAATCTGCCTCGGCAGATCTCGCACCTGTATATATCAATAATCTATCAATCAATCTGTCAATAATCAATCATCTTTACTACCTGACTGTGTCTACTATTGCCTAGGCAGACCTCAAGAGAGAGAGAGAGGGAGAGGGAGGCAAGAGAAAAGGAGAGAGGGAGGGAAAGAAGGGAGGGAAGGGAGAGAGAGGGGGAGAGAGAGAGAGACAGAGAATAGGAGAGAGAGGGAGAGAGAGAGGTTGAGAGGGGAGAGAGGGAGAGAGAGAGAGAGTGACCACAGTTGCTACTTGCTAGTACACAACAGATGTCTGCTTCAAGTTTATATTGTTGGAAGTGTGCATGTGTACACCTCTCCATTGTTGTAGTCGCACACAGACACACATGGACAGATCTACTCACACAAATGTATGTAGAGGGTCAAAACCCTCGTGGTTGCCAAAAGAAGAATGGTTTGACAACATAAGGGAGGACTTCCACCACTTGAACTTACACAACATCAACCCACAGGACAGAGGCAAGTGGCAGGCTGTCATCAATCCTCAGCATCAGAGTGCAAGCACGTCTAACCCTTGGGAGACGGGGAACAACAGATGATAAACTGGACAGTGAGTGAGTGTGTGTTTGTGTAAGTTTGTGTATTTAAGTTGTAACAGTATGAAAGCCTCACCATTTTAATCCTCAGGTTTGTCCTTGTGTGTGTGTTTTTTCATGTTTGACTGTATGTTTGACTGTATGTTTGACTGTATGTTTGACTGTATGTTTATGTGTGTGAAAGCCTCACCATTGTAGTCCTCAGGTTTGTCCTTGTTTAGTCCAAAGACCTTGATGGTGGGAAACCCGCGGACGTTGTAGGGACCTCCGACTGACTGGTGAGCTGTCATGTCCACTGCACCCACTTTTGCTACTCCCTGCATAGGAGATAAACAAGTGTTAGATAAACAAACAAACAAACACTCAGACTGATTGGTGAGCTGTCATGTCTTCTGCACCCACTTTTGCAACTCCCTGCAGGAAGGGGAGACTGTTTGAGTCCATTGCACCAAGTTCAGTTACTACACTCTGTAAGAGGTCCTGTTGTATCCAGAACCGTGCTTTATCCAGAATCACACTCATGCAAGGTTCTGGATAGTCCGCATGTATCCAGAACCGTGCTTTATCCAGAATCATACCCAGGCAAGGTTCTGGATAGTCCAAACGTATCCAGAACTGTGCCTGGGGCAAATCTATGTTCTTGGATACACGGAGACTATCCAGAACCGTGTCTAACCCTAGCCCAACCCATTCTGGCATAGAACCAGACAGGAACTGTTCAACACTGCTCAGTTTATTGTCCCAGTCAGTAGTGGCTAATGTATTCATAATTGAAACATACACAAGATAACATCAGGGTCCATTTTCTCTTTGTTCCTGTCCATTTTACTCACCTTGAGTGCTGTAGCTGCCTTCTTCCATTCTGGTACCAGGTTCTTACAGTGGCCACACCTGGAAGGTGAGAACAAGCAGGGTTCTTAAGAAAGTTCTAAGAACATCATCAACTACATCATACATATATAGTCCTGTTCTCTACTGTTGGTTGTAGTTTATGTGCTGTGTACTGGTACGCTGAAAATGTTTAGGTTCATGAGTAAAAAAAAACAAAGTCAAGAACCAATCCCGGACTTAATACAAAAAAAACAAAAAAAAACAAACACCTAAAACCTTCCATAGAATTCAAAATCTGTGCTGAGAAATGAAGAAAACATTGCCATAGGGCATCATCAAGTGTCCATGTTATGTGGGTTTAGCCTTTAGGCACACAGCACTAGCTGTAGTGTGTACATAGAATTTTGCTATCCAAGGCCAGGCACAGAATTTACAGATAAAGAATTATTATCACCTGTATAGTGAGAGTGAAATTGAAGAGAATGAAAGGGAAAGTTAAGACGGTGAAAGGGAAAGGGAAAACCCCACCAAGGAGCGTAGAACTCGACCAGCCAGACGTCTCCACTCTGGATGACCTTCTGCTGGAAGTTGGTAGAGGTCAACTCGATGACATCATCACTGGGGCTGTACAGAGCATGTGCAGTAGCCGCTAGGAATGCCACAACCAACCAACCTGGTCAACAAATAAATAAACAGGTCAACAAACAAACAACACTGGGGATGCACGAAACATGGGTAGTAGTGACTTGGGGAACCTGGCTTCAAGAGAGCAAAGATATTTTTTTGCTATGTTTCTTCTTCTTCTTCTGTTCCAAACACTGACCTCTGACCTGGCCAATGACCTGATTTGTTGATGTCTGTCACCATGGTAACTGGTGTTGGGTTACATATAATGTTGCAATTTTATAGTAGGAAGGATTTAGTCTCCTGTCACCATATACTAGTATATGAATGCATTCGAGTAAGAATTAACAGAGCAGACCATATGTGAAGGTAAACATTAAGCATTTACTTTGCAAGTGTTACGGTCAATTCAATATTTCAATATTAGTAGGTACAATATTCTCGCAATGTTAAGTAAGTTTTCCAAGTTGAATGTCTTAAAATATACTCAGCTCAGCCCCCTCGCCAACCCACACCCAACCCCTGACCCCCTCCCCCACCCTCCCCCCAAGGCATGACATCACATATTGCAGAGGTGGCAGCTTCTGATTGGTCAATACATGGGTAGTCACTAGATTTTAACCAATCACAATTCTGCTAAAAACAGCCTGCAGTTTAACTAGTAGTTGAGTTACTGTCACAAATTAAAGTTGTGCTTAAAATTTGACGATGTTCTAGCGAAATGGTAAATGATATACTCTGGTACAAATAAAACATTTGAAATCTACTCTAAACTCGCATGTAGGTAATAAAAACATTGGATTACGATATATTACTGTGCTAAACTTACTACGGTTTGGAAACAACACTTAATCAACGTCAAGATCTAAACTCCTAGTCTTACTAATAACTTATTAGCATTATTATTAGTAGTAAACTGTCATTCTTTAAAAATACAACTCAGTACATTTGTTTACACAAAGGCATAAGATCTTATATATGACCCTTTCAAGCATGTCATTGTATTCATAACAGTAAACCTAAGTAAATGAAATGAAATGAAAGGATTTGCTTTTTGTATAGTACGTAGAGATATTACAGGGTTATTAGTGAGGGAATAGAAACAAACTGTACCTGCTAGTAAAATAATTAAATTAAGTTTATGACATTTTCTGTGCAATCTTGCACTGTTAACACGACTTTACAAAGCAGTCTGCCTGAAAGTACACATAGAAAAATCTAACGTTAAACAACACGTATAAAAACTCGGCTAACATAAATTAATATCTAATGCTTGAACATAAACAAACTAAATTGACACGAATTTAGACCCAAGAATTCTCGAACTAGGAAGTGATTTTAGCACCAGCTTCTCCGACTGTAACTCGCTTCTCCTAGACTTCTTGTAAGTTTCCTTACATGAACAACTTGGTTTAACGTTAACTAAAACCTTCTAAAACATGAAAACCTCACCTACAATGTCTTACACACCGTTTTAGACACTTTTTGAGCCACAACTTTTACATGCTGTTCGCAAAACTACACTATGAAGTAGTAGCACCAAAACATCGCCCACAAAATCAGCGAAACGGACGAATTTTTCACAGAATTTCTAACGTTTAAACATTACTACAGCTTTTCACAGATCCGTATTCTTACCTGTGTTGATTTCCATGCTGTTTTTCGCCTGTTTTTTGCTCAGAAAGTTGGAAGTTTTGAAGGTTTACGTGGACAAACCGGACAGAAACTTACAGCTGGTACAACATGGGAACCCGGCCTCTGCCGTGGAGCCCGCTGATTGGTCCACGGCACTGCACATGCGCACTGCGTGGGGAGGCGGGGTTAAAGGTCATCGAACGGAGTGGGAGGGGCAGTTTAGATCCAAGCAGATGTGAAGAGCCAAGGTGATCATGAATTTCTCAATTTACCCCCGTTTTTTGGACGTATAACCCAGACAAAATACGGGGTGACAAAGAGTGTTACAGTATTGCCTCACAGCAGATGCTTGGGGAAGAAAGGGACAAAATTCAGACAATTTATTCACTTAAACTTAAACTTATTTATTTATTTATATGATCCAAGGACATTGCTTGAATGTCATTGTATGATCGAAGGATGTAAAATAATCACAAGTTCTTGTTTCGTGTTATTTTGTAGTGAGCTTTGTCATGTCACAAGTTCAGGTTCCGTTGGAAGACTTTGTATTGTTCATTTCTATAGAATAAGGCATAGAGGTAGAAATGACGTACAGTCTGCAGTTCCACCATTTTCCGCTAGGCGTTGCTGTTACATAGCTGATGTCGGCTCACTGGGTGTAAGCTTAGGCCATGTTGATTTGATTATATGGATGACATCCGCCGGGAACCCCAAAATTGATGCGCGCGTGCGAATAAAAAAAGTTTTGAAAAAAAATTGTTGTTTTCATTATGAAATCTACGTGGTCATGAAGGTTGAACAAATGGGAGTCCCATTTATGGGACAGAATATGGTTTGGCGAATGATCTAGTCTTCAAGTTCATTTCTTTAAAATTTCGTCTTTTTTAGTTTGATTTTGCCATTCTACGACATTGGTATGTTTTTTTTTTTTTGTAACTTACGGTATATTTTTGCTCATTTTGCAAATGTTTTGTACGATTTACAGTATGGTTGAATAATATAATTATAATATAATTAATATAATCAAATCAACATGGCCTTATATAGAGACTCTTACTTTATCTTAAGTAGTGTCAGAGTCTGTTGGTACTAAGTTAGACCACAGAAAAACCACCACTGATTGATACAACGAAAGCAGAACTTTAATTGGTGCAAACTCGATGAAAAAATCTCAAAGATATACAAAATCACAGCTGATACATAATATTCATGTATGTAACTAATGTGCAATCCTATATAGACATAGTGTGGGATCTGTAATACACTGATATAAAATAATTACTGCTGGTACATGATATGTGTAACTAATGTGCAATCCTATATAGACATAGTGTAGAGTCTGTAACACAGATATACAAAATCACTGCTGATACATAATATGTGTAACTAATGTGCAATTCTATATAGACATAGTGTAGAGTCTGTAACACGGATATACAAAATCACCGCTGATACATAATATGTGTAACTAATGTGCAATCCTATATAGACATAGTGTAGAGTCTGTAACACAGATATACAAAATCACTGCTGATACATAATATGTGTAACTAATGTGCAATCCTATATAGACATAGTGTAGAGTCTATAACACAGATGTACAAAATCACTGCTGATACATAATATATGTAACTAATGTGCAATCCTATATAGACATAGTGTAGAGTCTGTAACACAGATATACAAAATCACTGCTGATACATTATATGTGTAACTAATGTGCAATCCTATATAGACATAGTGTAGAGTCTGTAACACAGATATACAAAATCACTGCTGATACATTATATGTGTAACTAACACCCGCATTTTAGTAGAAGCGTAATGGATCAGCAGTTGCAGCATTCGGGCTCGAGTCATCTATATTTGATGAAGGCATTCATCACAATCATGATAGTATTAGTAGTTGACAAATACAGTCACGGTTTGGTTCTCCAAACTGGTCACAACCAGCTGCCCTTCCGGTCCCACAGCCTGGCCGTATGGCCTAGACTCAGTACTGAAGGAGCGGAGATACTCGCCGTGACGTGTGAATATCTGAACCCTCTCGTTCCAATGGTCCGCCACGATGATGTTCCCTGCCCTGTCTGTACAGATGCCGCGGGGATACTTCAGCTGACCTTCACCACTTCCCGCACCTCCAAACTTGAACAGGAACTTCCCGGACTCGTCAAACACGTAGACAGTGTCATTGCGCCAGTCCGACACAAGGATGTTCCCTTCCCCGTCCACAGTGATGTACTGCGGGCCTATCATCTCACCCTGTCCGAACCTCCGCACCAGAGAGCCGTCCGGACGGAACACCTCAACTTCATGACGGACTGTATCAGTCACCAGGATGTGGTTAGTGCGCATGTCCACCGCAATGCCGCGTAAAAGTATGCTCTCCCGAAGTTGAAACCCCGCCATGGCGGTCCCGTCCGTGCTGTACTGTACAACATGATCGGCTGCCCATCCACGCCCCACTACCCACAGTGTGCCGTTAGAGTCCATACTAATATCAGATGGCCCCATGTCCCTGTCCTCTGTACCCGGTACGACTGTTGGGAAGTGGCGGAGGTAACCCCCCTTCATGCTGTGGACTTGGACTCGCCTGTTGTCTGTATCAGCCACGAATATCTCGTTGCTAGGCGACACCACAACGCCGCGTGGGTCCGAAAATTTACCAGGTTCTGATCCTTTCCCGCCAAAAGTGACCTTGCATTGTTCCACGTCTCCAGTAGTGCGAGTTGCCGCTCCCTCTACCCCCGCTTGGGGGCGCTCTTGTTCGCTTACTTCTGTATCCTTCCTTCCCTTGTCAGAGTCTTGCCTTGTAGTCATCTTGTCTTTTTCTTCTTTGTCTTCTTCTTCTTTGTCTTCTTCTTCTTTGTCTTCTTCTTCTTTTTCTTCATCTTCTTTGTCTTCTTCTTCCTCGTCTTCTTCTTTTTCTTCTAGAACTGTCCATTCTTCTCCAACCTTGTCACCGCCATCTTCGGGTCTCCCTGTAGTACCATCAGTATCCGCTAGGCGTGTCTGTGTAGCTGCTTCTGCCTTCTCGACCTCTGCCGGCCAGCCGCCAGGCGGCTTCTCTCCCCTGTACTCCTGTGACCAGCCGCCAGGCGGCTTCTCTCCCCTGTACTCCTGTGACCAGCCGCCAGGCGGCTTCTCTCCCCTGTACTCCTGTGACCAGCCGCCAGGCGGCTTCTCTCCCCTGTACTCCGTCACGTGGGTTGCCACCTGCCTGGCGGCTTTCTCGGCGTACTCTTGAGCCTGCTGCAGCTTTTCGTCAAGAACTGCGTTCGTCTCCAGGGCCTCCTTGAGCCTGTTCTCTGCGATGTTGAGCTTGGAGCGTAAGGTCATGAGCGTGTTGGAATCCACCTCTGCCTTCTGCCGGAGCGCGTTGGACTCCATTTCAGCCTTCCTGAGGTTGTGGACGGCTCGCCTCATCTGGTGTTCCCTGAGCCGGTCCCTCTCGGCCAGAGCCCGGACCAGGCTGTAGGAGAAGCCCTGGTACTCCAGACTCGCCGCCACCTGCAGATGGAGCGGCAGGGCGTCCGAGAACAGGTTCAGGGCCCACAGCCGCGTCCAGCTCCGGGGCGCCCTCTGCTGTTTCTTACGGGTACTGCAGCCCACCTCGATGTCATCGACGGGCAGTTGCCTCTTGACATCTGCAATGGAAGAGATAGGTCTTTCGTTATTGCATGCTTTAAGCAACTCTCAAATATGGCTAAAAGAAAGCGACTTAATAAGTGAGGAGAAATAGCAGCTAAACGCACCGTACAACAGCGCCTCCTGTTGGAGTTTGACGGGTACTCCAGCGTCGATCTGCAGCGACTCCACGCCCATGAATACAAGTCTCGGGTCGGAGTGATCCGCCATGAGCCGCAGCACCGCCGTGTTCTCCCGCGGTATGGAGAAGTGCACCAGGATGCTCCTGTGTTTCTTGTAACCTCTGAACTTGACCTGTGACGTTCTGGTGCCAATTAATCTCGCTATGCTGTTTCTGAGATGGTTTAGGGTTTCCTGGATCATGCGCATTGGGCCTCCCACGACCACGTAGATGTTGGACATGGCATTTTCTGGAAGAAAATATATTTCTATCAACATTTTTGTGGCAATGACTTATTAAGAACCGTACATATTCACTGAAAGAAAGTAAGTTTTGGATGAAAAATACTTGTTTGATGAGTTAATGATAATTTCCTGCATTCCACTTACCTTCTACGCTTGCTCCTTCTTGGCTTGTTCCAGCTTGTGGTTCGGGGTTTTCCGGCTCCACATCGGGAATTCCTGGCTGCAGTTCGAGGTTTTCCGGCTGCAGTTCGGGGTTTTCCGGCTCAAGTCCGGGGTTTTCCGGCTGTGGATCGGGCGTTTCCGGCTGTAGTTCGGGGTTTTCCGGAATCTCTCGGTCAGGCGGCAGGAATGGTCTCAGAACGTCCCGAATCAGGTCCTGCCGTCCCATTCTTTCCAACAGCTCTTCCAGAAAGTCGAGATTTTCCTGGTCGATTTTCCCCAGTTCTCTCAGCTTGTGGAAAACGTCCACCGCCCGCCTGAGTCGAGCAGCCTGGCCTTTCGGAATCAGGTGCAGGCAGAACAACTTCACGTTTGCCGTTTCCTCTTCTGTCAGTTCATCGGAAATACGCAGCAAAGTTTGCACGAAATCAAAATGGCGTCTATCAGCCGCCGTTACCCTTTCTCGCACCGGACCTGCCATCCTGAAAACAGACGATAAAATAGCACCGAATTGCTTAAGTAATTTTTTTTACACTTGCGAAAGGAAAACATAATTATATAAGCACCAAACAAACGTTGCTAAACAGAGTTCACCCCCATGGTCCGCTGCTTCTCCAAACTGAGGCGTGTTTGTTTCTTGTTTACCCAGTCACGCGGACGTGCCTTGTCGGAATACCGTCACGGCTAAACTGCTGTTCAAAACCAACCACTATCCCCTTTACAAATAGTGTATACAACATCAACAGAAGCCATTTATGCCACTTTGTGTTACATTTACCTCGTTTAAAATGCACCTCATGAGAAATGATGATAACTTAGATAACTTATCATCAGAAGTCATTTATTTGGTCATTATGTGTCATAGTTTCGCACGTTAAGAACATGCAAAGCCTCAAGGTGTAAGCCTGTATCCAAGTCCACACACCGTGACCTACTACACAAAGAATGTGCCTTAGAAGTCATTTACATGCATACACTCTGTGTCTCGTTTAGTGTACCAGCAACATGTACCTTCCAAATTCTAACAATAAAAGACAACAGCCTATGAAAATTCCCCTCAAAACAACTTGAGGCGTAACAAAAACCTGTTCAAGTTTTAGACCTAACATGGCGGCCTGTTAAGAACAATTCTCACCTGTAGTGAAGCAGGTGTGACACTCACCTGTGTGACGTCACGGTAAGACGGGTTCCTTAAGACGTAACCAGCGTCAGCCTGCTTCTCCAAGACAAACTTCCTCAGCTGTCTCCTGTCTGCTGACGGAACCTTACGTAGACGTTAACGTTGGGAAACAAACTCGCTGGACGGTTTCTTACCCCCGAATGCCGCAAAAAACTTGAGTTTCATGAAAACAAACTAAGGCTTTTACAATGCTGAATAGGTAGCCTGTGTTTACACGCAACACAGTCTCTCTGGCTGTGGGCATTGACATCGAGGGCGTGCATGGGGGTTCCGAACACGCTCTATGCTAAATTTTGAGAGCCGGTGACGTATTGCGCAGGATTCAAGAAGCCTTCCCCATTACGCTTTACACAGTCTTGCTGGCTGTGGTCATTGACACATTGTGTATCAAGGAGGGCCTGCATGTGGGGGGGGGGGGGGAGGTAGTGATTTAATGAATTGCGCAAAATTTTCGCCACCAATTACGAATTACGCTAAATTTTCAGAGCTGATTACGACTTTACGCTTTGCGGCTAATGTACTATTACGAATTACGTTGATTTTTGGGGATTCTGCCTACGGATTACGAAGACTATAAAGGCCTTACGCAACCATAAACCGTGAGCAAAGTCCAAGGACTCCCGAGTTTGTTTCCCAACTGCCACGTCTACCGGAGGTTCCGTCAGCAGACAGGAGACAGCTGAGGAAGTTTGTCTTGGAGAAGCAGGCTGACGCTGGTTACGTCTTAAGGAACCCGTCTTACCGTGACGTCACACAGGTGAGTGTCACACCTGCTTCACTACAGGTGAGAAACGTTCTTAAGGTGCCACTTCAGCCAGGCCGCCATTTTAGGTCAACAACTCGAAAATATTTTTGTTACACCTCGTCAAATTGTCAAATTTAAGGGCATTACAACACTCAAAATGCATCAATGACTTCTGTGCTACACTCTAGTGGACCTGAAAATACTTTTGTTACACCTTGAGATTTTTTACAGTTCTTAAAGTGCTTGTAAAGGAGCTACGCGTTTTGGTACATGTACATACAGGCTGCCGTTAAATGTGACATAATCTCATGAATGGCTTCCGATGATGACGTGTAAAGGGGGATATGTGTGAGGTGGTTTTAGAATTTAGTTTCACGCACGCAAAGTATGCAAACCTGTACTTTGAATATTCATGTTTATTATGAATAAGATGATGAAAAATATGAAGTTGTTTGAGTCAAGGACTTATCGGGTTTATGATCAGTGATACGCCCCCTCCGCACGTCCGCGTGACTGGTTAATTATTGGCGGGTGAAACAAACAGGCTGACGTTCGGGAGCTGAGATTCGGGGTGAACTCTGACCAGTGTTTGCGCGGGAGATATGAGGACAAAGTCTGCGGTTCAAAACATGACCTGTGGTAGCGCCTCCGCACGTCCGCATGTGGACCGAACAAACACTCCAAAGTTGGCTGAGTTGTAATCTCCAAGCAGATGTTTCGGTGCACGTGGCTGCAAAATACTTTATCAAATTCGCTAGGCAGTATCCATTGGGCTATAACCATTTGCCACCCAACACAGCCTGGCCAATGGATATACATGTATACTGCCTGGCCAATTTGATACTGTATTTTGCAGCCACCGAAATATCTGCTTAAAGAGTATCTTAGCTGATGGTAAAGAATCACCTTACTTAGAAACATTCATATTTTAGTATGGTGACCAGTTAGTCCAACTCGTCCTGCCAACTTGCTAAATGATTAATTCCAACACAAAATATGGTGACCAGTCCCTCTAGGTCTGCCCTGCTACTTTGCTATATTAAGTAATCTAACAACAGTTATCATGGTGACAGCCGTCTAGTCCTGGTCATTGCCCTTTTTGTAGAACAGAAGAAGAAGAAACTAAGAAAAAAACCGTCATGATATGGCAATATATGGCCAGCATCATAGGCCTGTAGTTTATGTGTGTCTAAATACCTGGACATGTGCTTTGTATCTTTGTTATATTTTGTCTGACCCTCCCTCTTCCCCCATCACCTCTATGAAAAGTGGATCAAACATAACAAACAATTTTTATCGTCTATTTTTAGGATGGCAGGTCCGGTGCGAGAAAGGGTAACGGCGGCTGATAGACGCCATTTTGATTTCGTGCAAACTTTGCTGCGTATTTCCGATGAACTGACAGAAGAGGAAACGGCAAACGTGAAGTTGTTCTGCCTGCACCTGATTCCGAAAGGCCAGGCTGCTCGACTCAGGCGGGCGGTGGACGTTTTTCACAAGCTGATAGAACTGGATAAAATTGACCAGGAGAATCTTGACTTTCTGGAAGAGCTGTTGGAAAGAATGGGACGAAACGACCTGATTCGGGACGTTCTAAGACCATTCCAGCAACCCGACCGACAGATTCCGGAAAACCCCGAACTGCAGCCGGGAACAAGCGCTGAAGGTGCGAGTACAGAAGGTGAGTTGAGTCTGGCAACTTTTTGGTCACGCCTCAGGGGTGGAGACATACTCAAGGGAACTCAATGTTATTGTCATGGAATGGCTTTAATTGTGTCTCCCAAATGTTTTCTTTTTTTAACGCTAAAGTCATGGACTTTTTTTATTACTTCCAGAAGCTACAACTTCCGACGCTTTCATGGTCTTTCGCGGCCAAAGTCAAATGGTCCAGGAAACAGTAACCCATCAGAGAGGCCTTTTCGCGTCGCTGTTTGGCACCAGAAGGTCACAGGTCAAGTTCAGAGGTTACAAGAAACACAAGAGCATCCTGGCGCACTACACCGTACCGCGGGAGAACACGGCGGTGCTGCGGCTCATGGCGGATCACTCCGACCCGAGACTTGTGTTCATGGGCATGGAGTCGCTGCAGATCGACGCTGGAGTACCCGTCAAACTCCAACAGGAGGCGCTGTTGTACGGTGCGTCTATTTTGTTTCTCTTCTCACACGTACTCGTCATAAGTTGTTTACAATTCACGAGATTAGAAAGTTCTTCAATTTATACAAAACTAAAGGCCATTTCACTTTTTTGCAGATATCAAGAGACAACTGCCCGTCGATGACATCGAGGTGGGCTGCAGTACCCGTAAGAAACAGCAGAGGGCGCCCCGGAGCTGGACGCGGCTGTGGGCCCTGAACCTGTTCTCGGACGCCCTGCCGCTCCATCTGCAGGTGGCGGCGAGTCTGGAGTACCAGGGCTTCTCCTACAGCCTGGTCCGGGCTCTGGCCGAGAGGGACCGGCTCAGGGAACACCAGATGAGGCGAGCCGTCCACAACCTCAGGAAGGCTGAAGTGGAGTCCAAAGCGCTCCGGCAGAAGGCAGAGGTGGATTCCAACACGCTCATGACCTTACGCTCCAAGCTCAACATCGCAGAGAACAGGCTCAAGGAGGCCCTGGAGACGAACGCAGTTCTTGCAGAAAAGCTGCAGCAGGCTCAAGAATACGCCGAGAAAGCCGCCAGGCAGGTGACAACCCACGTGACGGAGTACAGGTCACAGGAGTACAGGGGAGAGAAGCCACCTGGCGGCTGGCCGGCACAGGTCGAGACATGGACCGAGAAGGCAGATGCAGGTACACACGGACCACTAGCGGATACTGATGGTACTACAGAGAGACCTGAAGATGGTGACAAGGTTGGAGAAGAATGGCCAGTTCTAGAAGAAAAAGAAGAAGATGAAGACAAAGAAGAAGAACGAAGAAGAAGAC